TCTTAAAAAAATTGTGCCAATCTAGCAATTGTTTAGTATAGTTTTATATATGTTTATATATGTTTTATGTGTGTTATTATGGCAAACCCATCGTCATCGTCATCGTCGTCGTCGTCGTCGTCGTCGTCGTCAACTTCAGTATAATCATCAGAATGCAGCTCACGTCGTTTGGCGATAAAAAAAACCCATTTGCAATCCAACAAATTAGAGAAGAGAAACAACCTTAGCTTCCGCATTGAAATGAAGTTTTCAAATAGACAAACCGCAACAGAATGTTGCATACAAATGCGGCATTTTTGAGTTGGCATCAGTGTTTGCAGAATTAATTAGTGTATCATTTGTTGGCAACAATCATTATTTGGCATGAAATCTATAAACTTTATCTACAAATGAATTTAAAATGCAATTTACCATTATCACGAATAATTTTTAATTTTTCACTTTCGAAAGGTTTCACTTCAGATGATTTTTGCATGCAAACTGAAATGCAACATAAGAGTAATTTTACCCGATTATCACTGATAATAATTTATGATTATTCAATAATTACTTTCGCTTACGAAAAATGATGTATAATATTCACACCAAATAAAAGAAATCTGTAAAAATTTTCATAATTTTATGTAAAAATAGTTTTTTTTAAATAAATTGCCATCAATTGTTAAAATATATTATTTCATTTTAGTTTTGTAATGAATTTGCAGAAAATATCTTATTGCAATTACGCTAAATTAGTCACCAATATGTCTTTAATTTAGGAAGTATAGTACTATGTATAATTTTGCAATGAAATGGTTATATCGGATTTTTAATAAATAACTAATTTAAATATTAGTTATTTTGTAACCAAACGATTTTAATAAAAGTCTTTTTTCAGGCTAATTGGTCAAATTTTTTTTTAAATGTTATTAAAAAATAAAAATAAAAGAAAAATAAATCACAATTTATTTTTTAATAATTTTTATTTTATGATATTTCGACTTTAGTCTTAAGTCATCATTAGGAAACTAATGTTTCTGCAATCTGTTTAGTTTCCTGATGAAGACTTTACACTAAAGTCGAAATATCGATAAAATAAAAGTTGTTGTAAAATAAATTGTGAATTTTAAAAACATTGAAAAAAAATTTGACCAATTAGCCTGAAAAAAATACTTTTATTATAAACAACTTGGCTCTGTCAATTTTTTGAAGCTAGCGTAGTGTTATAATACGCAATGACCAAACATCCATGTTTATCGACAATCACTAAGAAATTACACAAACAATATGGGTGTTTTCTTTGAGAAAATTTGTATGTGAAGATATGATATTGAATGCTTTATTGTTATTCTAAGATACTTACAGCATAGTTTTGAAAATATTTTGCTACTACAACTTTAAACAAATAAAATCAAGTATAGACTCGAATCTCGAAAATAATTATAGACTCGAAACAATATTTAAAGCAATGAATTATATTTTTGTATTAAAAGCTTCATATTACTAATGTAAACATTCATTACTAATGTAAACCAAATGTTAATTGATCATATAAAAATGCTTTGTATTTAAATTTATATCAACTGTCTTTAACATAATTTGTGTAATTTAGAAGGTCCATCTTAATGATTATTAAAACTTCTTTTTTTTTTTAAATCTTAAATTGGTGACATTGTATGTAATTATCTCATAAAATATGAGTACAACCTGTCAATTAGTTTGTTTACAGCAGCTAATTAAGTCAATCAACTTCAGTAGTAGAACATGATTTTAACAATGAAGGAGTTTATCTTAAGTTCTGAAAAGTTATATATTGAATTATTAAAAAATTTATATTTTTCAAAGTGTTCAAGTATTGCAAAGAAATATTTAATAGAAAACTGTTATGAATACACGACATTTTAGATTAAGAGAAAATGCTTCAGATCTTAATATTTTCCAAGAATCTGTTTGCTCAATTTTGACGGACATTCGAGTACTTATTGTGGGACGTTGGGACAGCGCACCGTCCACCAGCGCGTGTAGTTAAACAATGCAAATTATATATCATATTCATGATAAGACTTAGAATTGATGATGAGATAGGAATAATTATTCATAAATAAGTTTGCAAAGAAGAAGAATAAATAAGGGATAAAAAACAAGTTAAATTAAATAAACCTCTTGAAGTTATACTTTATACTTATATGTACCAATATCTTGCTTGATATTGGTAGTATGGCCAATAATATATTTAATTTTAAATATTATGTAATTAATTTTACATAGCAATAATGTGAAATAATGATATAATATTGTTATAAAGTACCATAAATTTGTAAATATAAATTTGAAACATAAATTTGTAGACCATGGGCTGAATAGTGTAGGCCAACGACAAACAAGTCAATATATCATCCCAGCAAAGAGAATATCAAGTAAGTATAATTCGCCAAACAGGGTTGCTCTAAGAACTCTAATGGGTTACATTACATATTACTACAACTTTGTGTGTTACTTCTCTAAAGAACTATGTATCATTAATACGTATATGCTTAATAGTTTCAGAATGCTGGGCTTCTTTTAACGATACAACCTCAATGGGTATCTGCAAACAGGGGCATTGGACTTACTATAGAGTAAGCAATCTGTTTTCTGAAATATAGGTAAAAGTAAATTTTGGTCGAATAAAAAATTCTGTCAAATTTCAAGATTTTCTTGGTTCAAACTCAAGAAAAAAACATACTAGTCAGGTGTTTCAACTGAAGCGAAATCAGCTCAGCCCTAATTTGGCAATGCTGATAGGTCACTGTGTACTAATAAAACATAGTAAAATACTTGATTTACCGTATAATGGCTTTTGTGGTGGCTGTGGCTTTGAAGAAGAGTAGAAGTCCATGTCTCACCTTCGTTTTTGATACTCATCTCTGACCAATAGAAGATTAAAAATTTTTGTGACCACTTTTCTTACTGATCTACTGTGCTTATTATACTGTAAAATTAGTGATGTAGCCACATTTGTAGACTTATCAGGTTGATTTACTTTCACTTAAATGGGGAAGTTATGCTTTTTAACGATCCTTTCAGGGACCTTCTTGTTTGTGTACGAACAACATTAATCCTGGTATGTGAGCGGGTCATTATTTCAGTTCAAGTGTGGTTTGATGTACAAAATTACCACTTTAATCTAACCTGAGGTATGTACCAGATAAATAAGTTGGGTTTGTAGTTATTGTGGAATAGATAAATCTCTCGGAGCAAATTTTTTGTGAATAGCTTACATTTAACAAGCAAAACCTTACTACATTTTTTTGCTTCCATATTTATAATTTTAGAACAACAATTTTTATTCTTAGGCAGTGCTAAAATTTCCTTAAAGGGATAAAACGTTAACTTATGCAATTAAGTCTTGTATAGAAATAATTGTGCCAGTTAAAATGATTAATATTATTCGTACGATGTGACTCTTACGAATCATTAGCATTATGTTACTTTCCATGATAGTAATGTTAGCAAAGTGTAGTCTCATAAGGACTTAAATTATGAACATGTGAAAACCGAATTTTTTCTTTATCAATAAAAATAATCTTACTATATGTTTTTTCTTAATTGTTAAATATTTTTGTTATAGTATGTTGATTATATACAAATGATTCATATTGATAATTAATATACATAGTGATGCAACTATGTATTTTATTCAAATTAGTGAGGCTTCTATTTTCATACTAAGTAAATGAGTAAAGGTACTTGTAATTTACCAAGGTTGATATAATTAATAAAATCAAAAATGAATAGCTCATTGAGATATTTTTGTTATAACTCTAAATGTTTGTTATTCATTACAGTTTTTTTGGGGGGGTTCTATAAATGACTACCATTAAATGGCAAGAAAAAAGATTAAATTCGCATAAACGCCACGCAAATAATTAAAAAACATAACTACTAATTGCATAACTTGAAGCGTTGATTGCTTTTAATTATAGCTCAAACGCATTGCTCAGCTCATAGTAATTATCCACAAGATGCAGTGTAAGCCAATCATGGAGTACAACTGAAAAGTGCGTTACTTGACTTAGATGAAGTGCATTTCAGTTGCTTTTGCAAATGTTTATTATATTAAGTTGTGAATTTAAATTGCATTCAAGTCGATTTTAAGCCGCAATCAAACTGGCATGAATGTTTAAACATCCGTTCTGTCCGTCCGTCCGCCTTTGTGTCTGCACTGCATAGCGTAATCCTACTGTGAATATCTTTGATTGTTGAGATATGCTCTATTCAAGCGTTAATTTGTAAATCAGTCAATTGCAAATAAACAAAATAAAAATTAGAAAAAATAAACAAATGAAAAATTGCAATTCACACTTGCAAAAGTGCAAACTGCAAGTTGCACATGCGCACGCAATGACTTTGGAATATTTAAGATTTGCTTTGGATTATAATTCATGTGCGTAAATTTGTTCACGGATTTTCTGCGCATACAAATTTTATTTATCATTATGATTAGTATAAATATTTAGTTTTTTTTTTCTTATATCTCATATTGGTTTAAGTTTATGTTTTATGATTTTACTCGTTTGTCAAGTATAAAAGTAAATGCCAATGTCTTTTGAGTATGCAGTTTAGGCCTAAATATGCTGCTTTACTAACCACATATTGTAGGCTGTTGACTGATATTTCAAATGGAGTTCAAGTCGCCACTTTAGCAGCTAAAAGTTATTTCAATCTTTTTTTTGTTTTTCAATTTACTGGATTTTTAAAATGAAATTAGAATGGTTCTATGGTTAAGTTTTCATAGTAAGAAATCGTGCGAAGGCTTCTCATAAATGCGTTAAAACGCATAACTCATGATGAATATGCCATAAATGTGCTTTTAATTTTTCGATGTGTTTTTAACCTTGTTTTTGAGTTGTTGAAACTGCAAATTATTTGTGATAATTTTTTCTTATTTTACTAACTTATGAGCTTTGATTTCATATGCCATTTATTTTCTGCAAACATTTGGTATTTGTTATGATTTGTTTGATTTCATTATTGCTTACCTGTGCCATTGTGGCAACTGTCAAGCCGAAGGTGAACGCAATCTGTGGCACTGAAGGTGTATAACCGTTTCCTCCAGTACAACTGCCAACGCCAATGAATACCAAGAAAAATGTGCCCACCAGCTCACCCAACAGTGCGCGCCAGATTTTCTTATTTTCTGTTATATCGGAGACACCGACGAATTTGGACATTTCTGTAAGAGATTGAGATAAAACAAAGGAAACACTTTATTTAGTTAAGGTCAAATTTGATTTGTATTAAAACAAATTTTATTATATACCAAATAAAAAATATTTCTATTCAATATTTATATATATACTTAAGTTAATATTAACACAAGTGTATTTCTTTAAATTTATTTTTTATTACATTTTTAGTTACAAAGTTGTGTTGAGAGTTAAATATTTTAAGCAAATCAATCAAAACCATATTTAACACATTTTAATGTCAAGTTTAATGTTTATTATGTTGACAAATTGTCTATGGATACAATGTATCTAAATATGCGAGTGTATAGCTAAAGTCACCATCAACATTTGACAGATGAGTAAATTAGTTATGGTTTTCTCACGGTAATTTGTGCGCGTCAAATATTGAAAAAGTTGTTTGCTTCATTTAAAAAAAAATATTAATTTATGTTAAAAGAGCAATTAAAATATTAAAAAAAAAAAACAATTTGCAACATTTTTTATTTATTTTTTAATATTTTTAAAATAATTTGTTTCTCTTTTAAAAATTATTTAAGGATTAAAAACAATGGCAAGTTAAATAGTTTCTAAAAATAAATAATTTAACTGAAAGATTTTATTTTAGTTTTCAGTTATTGCCATTAACCATAGAACATTTCTAAATGTGTTCGCAATACAATAAAGATTAACTCTTGAACAAAATTTTATTTATATTTTTAATTTAAGTACAGATTATGTTAGCGTTTAATCAAATCATATGCTTAAAAATTTAAGTAAAATAAAAATTAATCTCGCTTATAAACTGCAAGTAATAATTAGCAGTATGAATTTTATCAATATATAACAAAAATATACAGTATAGTATTAAAATTTAACAATTAAAAATAAAAATATATAATTAATAAATTCAATTATTCTACAGCTGGCTCTTAATTTCTTTCTAATATAAACACAGCAAGTGAATTTGTTAATAAAATTTTCGCAGCAAATTAACGAAACTCCAGAAAAATTTGCGAAGATAAAAGTCAAATACAGCTTTGGGTTAGTTGGCTAATGAACACTGACTCTGAGCTTCAAATTTGGCAGGACACGAGTTCGATTCCTGGTACTTGCAGTCTCAAAAAATGATTTACAAATAATTAAATTCAAGGATATTTCCAAGACTATTAATGAAAGCTACTCGGTAATATTCAAAACAGCTGTATGGTCAGTTAAAAATTCAATTAATTAAAATAATATATAAAATAATTTTTGTTGCTGTAGCTCACCATTGTTCGAAACTTCTCTATTAATATATTATAAAAATATTTTTATTAATGTTTCGTTATCAGTTATTTAAAAATGCCACAATTAATGATTACTTAATAATATTACAACATTTAAAAGATTGTAGACTTTAAAACTAGTAATATTCACCATTTAGAAAAATCTGAAAAAATTTATATAACGCATCTGTATCATCGAATCATGACAACGACAATTATTGACACCCCACTATGTGATATATATTTTGCTAAAATTTTAATAAATATATGTACTACATAAAAAATTAAAAATAGATATTATTATTTTTATAAATATTCATGTACTATATGTTACGATTACGATATTGCTCTGTTCTAAAACCAACTAAAATTTTGACAACAAACCACTTTATAATATATGTTTATATTATATTTGGGACATTAATCTGTAATGTTAAAATCTATTCAGTTGTGTGAAGTATGTAATGAGCTATACTTAGTTTTATATTCGATTTCGTACTAAAATTTATACTTTATGGTTTGCTTATTAGAATTTAATTTATATTACACCAGACAAATGAACAAAAACTGTTAATGAAAAAAACGAACTGATAATTAGATTCGCACGATAATCTTAATGAGTGGGAAAAAATTATGATAAATGGTATATTGTATCAGAATAATAATCAGAATAAGTTCGAAATAAGATAACTAATATGATCTCTTTAATTTTAGTATCATCAAAATCAGTTAAATAACTTAATTAACTTGTCGTAATTCATAATGCTAATAAACTTAGCAATCGGTTAAGCTGTAGATACAATAAGAAAGGTGATAATATCAAAATAACAAAAATATAATTAAATATTATATGTAAATCATGTTAATGTAAGTGTTGGCGATAAAGTTATTAAATTTTTACTAGAGAGAACAGCTGAAAGATATCTGAAAAAGCAGTTTTTCCTATGTAAATCTTCTAAGCTCCCAAGATGGACTTTCAATTAAAGATGTTATTCCTTTCAGATAATTATTTTTTGTATATCGATAAAAACCTTTTTGTTTTCTTAAAAAAACAATTTTGTTTTCTTATAAAAACAATTTTGTTTTCTTAAAAAAACAATTTTGTTTTATGATTGTTTTTTTTTTGTAAAAAAAAAGAACACTACTTTTATATGAAGATGCTCTTAATTCTTAAAATATCGCTAGATTTGTCATAAAAAATATAATAAATCAATTACAGATTAATACGTCCTCAGTCTCATTGATTTTAACCTAAAATTTGACTGTCACACAGAAATTTTATTGATAATTTGACTTAAAACTTGTATGTAAAAGGTTAAGGTTGTATGTTGAATGTAAGCTTGTATGTAAAAGGTTAATGTCATAGGAACTATATAATGTAAGTCGTGAAAACATTTGGTGTTGTGGATCATCAGGTATAGCGAAAACAGTGCAAGGGGGTCTATTCTAATACGAATGCCACTCACAGAAGTGGAACAAATGGTCTCCATGATGAGTATATTATATATATTCAGGCACGAAAAAGGTGTGGTGTTTTGGATGGTAGGAATGCGCGCTATCTTACTGATTGGACACACTTTAGTCAACGCATTTTTGATTTTTCAAAATTTCAAAACCATGAAAACCTCATTGCTTTTCTTATATAAAAATATTCTATTTTAAAATTTTTATATTGCACTCATTACTTTTTAAGAGAAATACTTGTATTCACAAAGTTTAAGCTAAGCAATAACGTAATGTAGTGTAGATGAAAGTTTACATTGTATCTTTATTTTCAACTGTTTCACACCTAAATACAAAGTAAATAGATCAGCATTTCATATACAAAATAAACTTTAATAATAAACTTTAATAATTCCTATCTATTATATTATAAAAATTTTAGTGTTAGAAAGTAAAAGAGAAAAAAATTGAAAGTAACCTATATTTCATGTTGAGTAAAAGCATCTACAAATATTTTTTAACAAATTCTAAGTAGCAATTAGATAAAATTACTATAATCGAATTCAAGATAGATGATATGAGTACATTGATAAATGTTACTTAATATGTCATTACATTATGTCTAATCAAATTTCTATAGTAATTGATGATATCTTGAAACCATCATTTTTTTCTATGAATTTGATTTACGACAATAAGTTGTGTTAATATAAGTTAGGTTTCTTGGTAAATAATATTGAATAAATACTTATATAAATTAGATATAATGAACATGTATAGACTTTGTAGATAATCAAGTCAACATGCGATTGGTTCAGGTATATTGAAAATAGTAGTCTAAAATATCTGTATGTTGTATTTCACGTTTGGCAGGGTTTGAGTTTATACTTTTATACTTGGAGTTTAAAACATTTTATATAAACAACTTAATCTAAAAAAAAATTTTATAACACTGTTGATGATGGGTATTTGTCAATACCCCGAACAGTTGTATGGTTAGTCAAAGCCTAAAAATAATTAAAAACTAAAAAAAAAAAATTATTTGAAATCCTTATTTAATTATATTTTAATGCTTAAAAGTATTAAGAGTAGTAATACTTTTTTACGTATATATAAAATTATTTTCAATTGATTTCGCATATAAAGACACAAATAATTACCGTTTACTTTTGGCTTTCTTGTTTCCAAAACAATTTTCATTTTCTTTGAGTTTTCTTATTATATTTTATATAGGAAATTCAGACACTACTTGTTTAGAGCTTTAATACAACTGATAAACTGCAACAGTCCACTAAATGCAATTTTTATCATTCGATACAAGATACTTAAGATTTTTATTTGTTCAGTTAGTGTGAAAATTTAATGTATATTTAACTTTGCACTTCAATAAAAGTAAATCCCAAAAACATTTATATTCAGTTGAGTTTAACTTGTTAATTAATTGTTGCTTATATAGTAATTATTATATTTGTTCCGGACGCTTTGTAACAACTTTAAAATGAGATATTATTGATAGAAATTTATTTTTTTTATTTTCACTTTTTTCTAATAGTAGTATTAAACGCCACTCTTCAAAACATTTGACATTAAGACAAGTTAAAATGCACTCAAAAAAAGGCATTAATGAAAATAGTATATATTACGTATATATCGTAATATTTGTAATAAACTTTTAAAGTATTTCAATAACTTAAAGCTCTACGTATTTTTTGCTTGATAGCGTCTTTGATAATGACATATACCAAATGATTTATTTACTGGAATTTCGTTGAGAAGTTCGCTATTTAAATTCTAAATTCTGGGTCTGTGATAATGTTAAGTGTTCGTCTTATCAGTTGTGGGATTAGTTAAAGATAAATAAAATAAGGTATTGATAAAAACAATAGTAATATATGGTAATGGCACAAGGTAAGTGGTACTTCAATGTTATTAATATATAAATTTTTTTTTATTTTTAAAAATCGCCTACGTAATATCAGTTTTAAATGATATGGTACACTCCTATGTGAAAAGTAAGATAATTTTAATATAGAAATTAACCGACTCGAATTTTTATTATTGATTGAATTCTGATACAAAATTACTAAGAAAAAATTATTTTAGTTAGTTTATTTAAAAACTAAATTAATACAATATCAATTATATTATGTATTAAGAGTACTAATTTATATATATCAATTGATTGTTTCCTGCTTTCGCTTCTAATACTATTTAATTACATTAATATTATTATTTAATTATATATAAATGACTTTATTGTAATCATTAATATATTATTACTTTGTTAAAGTAATAACATTTACTAATTTAATTAATTTCATTAAATAAATGTGAATTTAAATAAATAACGATAATTTGGTATAAAATAGTTAATTTAAGCTCTTTAACTTTAATCAAATATTAACATTTAAGTATTGGAAATAAATAATAAAAATAATTTTTAATATTGCTTTTATTATTAAAACTGTTTCTTAATTTTCTTTTTCATATTTAAAACGTTTTGAGGAAACATTTTTATACAGAAAATATTACTTATTTTTCTGAATTTTATATTTATCGTATGTCGTATTAATCAAAATTGCTTTTAATTAAAAACAAAACAATTTATTAATGTTATTTTTTTTATCGAAAGTAACGCGCCTTATGGCGAAAAGAAACTATTTAAAAGTTAGAAGGGTCCGAATAAAAATGAAAAGACAACAACAAAAATTTTAGTTTATTTATTGAAATTTAGCTGACCATATAATGCTGTTTCGAGTATTGTCAAGTGCTCATCATCAGTGATGAGCTTTAACCTTTAAACTATTTATTGTTTCCACATGTACCACACAGATAAATATCTAAATGGTATCACAATAATTAAAATTTATTCTTTATATTGTTTTCAGCACTTTTAGCATTCATATTTTGCATTCATCGATAACTGCCGCAGAGTAGAAAAAAGAAACACAGTTCAAGGATATCAGTACTCCACACTGACATAATGTATTCTAAGAGTTTCGCTATGCATGGAAATTCAGCTTACAACAAAAAGGATATCAGTTCCCCAAACTACTGCTTATATCCTCAGGATATCACCTATCTGTTCAATTGGCTTATTGTACATATTTATATAACAATGGTTGATGTGTTATTATTGTCACCAGACACTTGACGCAGGTTAGATTTATAATGCGATTTTTATGATCCCCGATTATATTTTCCATTTTATTTATTTTCCCATCTAAAATCCTATCCATTAACTATATTTATCTTTACTAACTCACAATATTATAATAAGGTGAATTGGGTATGTCTCTGTATATTCTCAGAAAAATCATTATAACAACAGAACTACAATTACCGTTCGAATAAAGAAAATTAGTATAAAATATCATGTTGTTGCATATGGTTTTACAATAAGTAAAACTTAATCTCTCTGTTGTATTTGTCGCTTCCTGGGATGAAAAAGAAAACACAAAGGAAAGGAATCAGCGTTTTACACGAATGTAGTTTGTTCTTGAAATTCAGTTTACCAAATTACTAATTATAACCTAATAATATGACTCATCCTTTTATCACATGATTTTGATTGACATTGATTGACTTGTAGCTACATTTAACCGATGTCACAAAATTCTTATTTATTCTTGAAACATATAATGTCTCCAATAATTTTCAACTTTATTTGTTCTTTTTTACAAAATGATATATTAATTCCCGCCTTTTATCGCCATAATCCCAATTTGTCCTTTTAATATCGTAGGGTGAGTATACTTTTGCTCCACAATAAACTCAAACAACTGCAATAGTCAATATAAAACAATCACCATAACAGTCCTCATATAATGAATTAGTATCAAATATATCATTTTAATGGTAAAGACGTTTCATATTGATATTCATATTCATATTTTTATAATAAGTATTCTACATTATCAGTTTTATATAAGTTTATACTAGGACTGTCAAGAAATTTTCAGAAATTAAATTAAATGAACATTTTTTAAAGAAAACGTTTAGATATATTCTTAGTGATATGTATATTTTGTGCTATGATATTGTAAATATACATATATTATATACGAGTATTAATAAAACAAATTAATGTAAATGCTTATTACTAATTAATTATTAACTATATTAATATTTGTTTTTATAAAACCTTGAGGATTTAGGGTATATAATAATGTTAAGTATGTATTATATATATAAATTATTTGCCTTAGTTGTCTTGTCATTATTATCTTATACCGGTATATTGGAAATTATTAAATATATAAAAAAAAATTAGATTAAAAAAAATTATTAATATATTAAGTCCAAAAAACAGTTCATATTATTAAATAAATAAATTAAATTTATAAAAATAAATTTCACAATTATTTATTAAAATAAATTTTTTGTTATTTTTGGATTCTATTATTAGCAACTCTAAGTTGATAGTGATTTATTAATTAAAAATAATTTCTAGAAACTTTTTTATTTTTTTTTGTTTACATTTTTTATTATAGTTTAAAGTATTTCTTAAATATTTGTTAAGTAATTCGCTGTTATTCATAAAGTGAATGAACTAAGTAATCAATTACGTTTTTTTTTATTATTAATTTTAGATATCATAAAAATATTTAATGCCTAAAACAATTTCTATTTATATGTATAGTATTCATTTAAACAATTTTTATTTCTTTTTATATACATTAAATAAAGTTTTATTTTAAAAATTTTTATAGTAGTTAATTTATCAATGACGCTTTTGGCATTTTCATGTGAAATATCACACTACGAAGTGTTCGTATTTCAACCAAAATAATATATTATTTTATATATTTATTTATTTTGTAATCAGTCAATTAAGGAAAAGATAATAAACAGGCAAAAAAAACCGTTTAACAGATGTCAAAACACTCAAAATCAAGATTAAATAGCGCCATGTGCTTACCATATCTCTACGCCAGAATCACTTAAATTTATAAAATATTTATTTGCGGAATTGTTTCTGATCATTATGTGATAATTATTCCACATTCCAATATAAATATAATTCTAGTTAAATCCCAAAAAAAGGTGTATTAATTATATCAAAGCATTTTATACTGATAATGCACAGGGAAATTAATAATAATAATTAAAAAATTAGCGATGATTCTAAAGATATTGAATTTATATACATGGCAGTAAATTTATTTAATTAGAATAATTATTTTAAATATTAAATAAAATAAGGAAATAAATTGTGCAAAGCCATTTATGCCAGCTACCATATATCTTAGCGGCTTGTTTGGTGTGGGTTGATTTGAACATTTTGCTTACTAGATTTCAAAAAGATTGATTAAGAATGACTGATGTGCAACTAATTTGCATAAAAATATAAATTTTAACTTTTTTATGTTTAACTTTTTTTACAATTTTTTTAATTGTATTTTTAAATGTTAATAAAATAATTTGTATATGTAAATAAGATGATTTTTAATGATGTGAAAATCAAACAGAACTGCTCAAATCAAATCAAAATTATACAAATAAATTACTAAAAATAAACAAGTCACGTTTAGGAAGCAAAACGTTTTATATATGTGATTTATTTCTTTAACGGATTCTAAATCAAATAAAGTTTTCATTTTATATCATATAAATTACTTAACTGAGTTCTCATACATAATTAACGAATCTGCGCGTCTACTAAATCAACAAACATGAGAGCTACATGACGTATGCGTAATTTCATTATATTTTATATAAAATGACTTTAAAATTACTTAAGCATTACGTTAAGTATATATACTTTTTTGAATTACGGTTATTACATGTTCAAATTATTTATTTTAATACAGATTTGAGTTAAGGCTTGTGCACTTTTTAGAAGTTATTATATTATATATTTATTTATTAAGAGGTTTTTCGAACAGTGATGAACTATAACAACAAAAATTCATATATTATTTTAATTAATTTGGCTGATCATACAGTTATTTTGAGTATTACTAAATACCCATCACCAGTGGTCTTGGAAATGATTCTTGTATTTAATTATTCGTAAATAATTTTTTGAGACTGCAAGTACCAGGAATCAAACTCGTGTCCTGCCAAATTTGAAGCTCAGAGTCAGAGCATTTTAACGAACTGACCCAAAGCCATTATTTATTTTAGAACATATGCTGAGATGAAAAATATATCGATTTGCTTATTTTTTGAATTGTAAGAATATTTTAATTATTAATTAACTTCTATATTTTATTGGTAAAAAAT